AAGGAACCAAGGCATACCTTACAGGGAAGACATCAACTAAGTCAAGACCCTGATTTAGACTTATAGCCTCCAGAATGGTGAGAAAGCAAGGTTCCGTTCTTTAAAGTCATCCTCTTGTGATGAGCACTAGGGAAGTAAAAGGTGTGTGTGTGTGTGAGTGTGTGGGCAGAAGAACAGAGAAAAATAAGGAAACTATTTTTGTAAATTTAAAGAAAAAAGTCCAAAATGATACACAAACCATTCACAGGGGTTATCTCTACATGATCAGAGTCTTAGATGGGGTATACTCATGTTTTATTTTCTGTTTTTAGAGTCTGCCTTTTTTATTAGAATAATGTCTTATTTTTAATATACTAAATAAGGAGGAAGGGGAAGCACAGGGGCCTCCACTTGGGGCAGGTAGATAGGACACCAGAATACTCAGATACCCACATAGGTAAAGAGAAGGTCTGGAGAACTACGATAGAGAACGGAGTTGGTTCATGGTTATGAAGGGACTGGGCGTCGAAGCTATGTCCAAGTGACCTTCTTGGATAGAGATCTGAACTTAGGAGCGAGCCCTTTTACCTCTAACCTTAGGCTGGGATCAGGAACCTGAGCTAAGACAGAAATTGTTTGTGCACTGACAATGGTGAGACTTACATGGGTAGAAAATGCAGAGGATACAGCAAGTTCGCTGCATTAAACTCTCCTGTCACCCAACCATCTTCCCCTGAGGCAACCACAGTCCAAGTCCCTTAACCTTCTGTGGCAGCTGTTCAGTTGATTTCCACTCATAACAGTCCCAAGTAACAGAATAGAGCTACCCAAGAGGATTTTCTTGTCGGTAATCATTGAAGCTGATCACCAGGCATCTCTTCAGTATAGCATCTGGGTGGCTTCAAGCTACCAACCTTCTGGTTAGTGGGTTCCTCTTCTACTCTGGTTTATGTGCTTATGTACCATCGGGTCAGAACTGACCCATAGCTGACTCTCCAGCACAATTTCAAAAGCAGTGAATTGAACAGGAAGAGACTGCCCATCTTTCTCCTGCGGAAGCAGGTAGATTTGAACAGCATTCCTTCATGATCTACAGTAGTTAGACATTACACACGTTATTATATCTATTACTTATTGTTGGAGACCATCCATATACCTTCATTTCCCAGACTCACAGGGCCCCTGAGCGGGCACTTCGTATGAAGGGGTCATGTTGTACCCATCAGCTCTGATTAATAGACATTTAGATTCATTCTCAACTTTTGCTTTTATAGACCCATAATCTCTTAACCAAGTTGTTGAAGTCAGCTTTCTTGGGGCATTTAGATTTTAAAAATATATTTAGAAAAATAAGTTAAGGTCTACGGTGATTCCCCACAATCGAATGCATGACTATTTCTGATGCAAAGCTACAAATAGTCTTGTCAAGGTTTTGGTACCAAATGAGCTTGAGTCATTTTAATGTTAAACTCCTGGTTTTCATAACCTTTTTTTTTTTAGGGAGAGAGTAGAATTGCCAGTGAGGCTCCATACTCGTACTTACTCATTACTGTGAGTCAAAATCAACTGTTGGCTCACTCTCTAGCTGTTTCCAGAGGCTATCAACCACATAAAGAGATTGCCCATCTTTCTCCCACCGAGATGCCAGTGAGGCACCCCCTTTGGATTAGCAGTGCAACTCCCCACAGACTAGGCCACAAAGCTCCCTAGCTTTTAGGCGCATTAGAATTGCCCCCCACGGAGCTATCTAAACCATGCTGCAATAGTAACTTTGGACACACCGTCTTTTTGCAAGCGTACAAATATATCCATAAGCTTCTGGAAGTAGAGAGAGGGTCAAGGACACAGGTTCTGTCCCTTTGTGACTTTGACAGGGTTTCAGAGATGGTTTTTCTTCCTCTTCTGAGAACTGCTGAACTTCCTGGTCTTCCAAACGCTGTCAAAATGGATTTTCCCCCACCCCCTGCCTCTCAGCACAAAACTAGGTGTAGGGTCTCTGACTGGCAGGGGAGTCAGCAAGAAAACTGGGGGGAGTGCAAGCTTCCCTGTCAGAGCGAGCAGGACAGTCTTCTCCTTCTTGTGGGATCTTGGGATCCCTTTCCTTCCCTCATCTGCAAACGCAGCGCCTGTCTCCATGGGGTAAAGAGTGCTCTCCGCTTGTCCACCATCCTGCCTTCCCTTTTCTCCTCCCCTGCACTGTCCCCTCCACCAAAGGGAAGAACAGTCCAGGCCAACAGAAAGGTCCACAGGCTTTTTAATGGTGTGATGGCTACTTCCCTTCCGAGACCCAATCTAATCACGACAGCGGCTTCCGGGGGTGGGGAGTGGGGGGTAGGGTGGGGTGGACAGGTGCAGGATGGGCAGAGGCCATGCAGTGAGTGGAGGCGGGGATGCTGTTACATTCTATTTGGCGTGTAAACATTCTTCAGTGGCTTCCCCAAAGCGGGGCAGGACGGCTCCCTGCCCCCGGTCACGCCCACCAGGGCTGGTCCCAGGAGCTGAGAAGACTGAGCAAGCCAGGCCCCTTTGAGGAGCTGGGAGAGGGGAAGCCCCGTGCCTGGGCACAGCCCCTCTCCTGCACCCTTGCGTGCTTGGTGCAGCCAGGGACGGCAGGTGTGTTCTGGTCTGAGCCGGTGACACAGGCTGTAGTGATGGGGTAGTGCGGGGTGACACTTGGAGAGGTGGTGCTCAGGACCTGGAGGCCCTGGGGCAGAGGGGGTTGGGTGCTCATGGGGGAAGACTGCAGCTGGGGTCGTGGGTGCTGCGGGTGTGGTTCCCTCTGCCCTGGATCCTTCCTGGGGAGAGGCACATAATCAGTCCCCTCGACCCCGCCCACTTTCCCCCTGCCCCATGACATTCAATGAAGCAGAGGCCTGAGGTCAGTTGGGAGCCCTAGGAAGGTCAAGAATCGCAGGAGCAGATGGAGTTTTCCATTTCTGCCCAGCTCCATTGCTGGGTGAAGGAGAAGACAAGGTTGGCCTGGGGCTCTCTCAGGCCTCCCTCTTCCTCTTAACTCCAAGCCAGGGTGTTGTTGGTCCTGGGACAGGGGTGAGGCTGGGGGGCCTACATTCACAATTCGGTTGGTGGCAAGGAGCAGGCCTAAGGCCCGGGCACCAGGGGCCTTGCCCTGGTCCCCACCTGGCACGAGCTGATTGTCATTCGGAGAAGCTCTAGGTGGGAAGGACTGGCCCCTTCTCCAGGCCCTCTGCTGGATTCAGAGGGCACTAGAGGGTCTTGGGAGGGCCTCGGGGTGACAAGAAGGACTCTGTCCAGAGAGGTTTCCTGAGTGTTCTGGGAGCTTCTGCATCAGTGTGAGTGGACTTCAAAGGCTGTCCACCCTGGAGTCCTCCCCCAGGCTGGTCTGCAGAGAAGCCACCACCTTGGCAAAGAAACAGCTGCCTGTGCCCACCGACCCTCCACAAAGCGTTTCAACTGGTCCCACTGGCTGCTCCTGGGGTCAACTTTCTTGTGGCTATCCTTCCAGGTGATGTTGGCTGGATGCTGACAGACAGCTAGGGCATGTTGGACCTTTATTCTTCCCCCGAATGTCTTGACTTCTTCTCTGTGGCCCGGGGAAGGAGAGGGGCCAGGTCAGGGGGTTGCTGAGGACAGATCTGCAGAGGATCAATCCCAGATAGGCAGAGGGTTGGCTGTTCCTTTTGATGCAGCCAGCAGATATAGGCAGCTGAGGCTCAGGATGAAGTGGGGTGAGCTATTTGGGAGCCAATACCTACAAGAGGGGGGTCCCACATCCACTGAGGGAGCAGCATAGCTCTCACCCTCTGCAGGGATGGCTCAGCTGCATGGGCTGCAGTTAGGTGAGCCAGGGGAGGGATTGGGCCGGAACTCATCACACAAGTGTACAATCTGGAAGCTTGAAGGGCCTTTCTGTCTTGAGTTAGGGGGCCAGTTCTCTGTCTGCCTGTCTCTGTCTCCTCTGTTCTTTAGGTCACCTGTCCTAGCCTATTCCTCACAGCCAGAAGGTGACCAGAACGGAGTCCCCCAGTCTTTGAAAAGCCAGCGCAGAAATGACGGTGAGGGCCAGTCTCCCCCGACTGAACTCAGGAAAGGGGGGAGTTGGCTGAAACTGCAGAAGTAGAATTGAGGTTAGATGGCAAGAAGGAATTCCTGATGTTAAGGGGTCCTGAGCACTAGATTCTGGGGTCAAGGGAGGGGATAACCTCTTGTGAGGCTCCCCTCCAACTTCTTACTCAGAAACATTTGCCCAGGAATGTTGCCATACACCCCATTCATTCTCCTCATTCAGGCCCCACTCAAACTTAGGGGCAGGGGTCTTTGTACCCAAAAGCTATACATAGGGTAGCCTCTCCTAAGAATCACTTGCCCATTGCCTCCCCATGGGGATGTTCACGATGGGATGGCTTTGGGCCTGTCAGACCTACTTCCTCACACCTGAGTCAACCTCAGGGCCCCTGAATCCTACTTCCTAAGCCCTCACCCCAGCTGAGGTTTCTCCACCACCATCACTCCCAGGAGACTGTGGGGTTGACCCCCAAGGGGAGGCTAGTGCCTCAGCTTCTGGAATTTGAGTCTGCTTCTCTGAAAAGGGGAGGATCTGGCTGGAAAAGAGTGTGGAGGAGGGAAAGGCGCCGCCGCAGGAGGTGTAAGCAGAAGTCCTTGGAGGGGCCTGGGGAGCAGCCGAGGCCTGGTGGGTGGTGGGGAGGCCAGAAGTGGCTGAGCCTTCCCCCCGCCCCGCGGGGCGCAGGGACTAGTGTGAGCCTGCCCCACCTTATGGGTGGCAGGGTGGGGAGGAGAGGACAGAGGAAAGGGACCAGAATCCCTTCCCCCGCGCGGTGCCCCCCACCAGCTGGGCCAGCGGGCGGGGCGCTGCATGTTCGCTTGACCTCTCCTGTGCAGGCGGGAAGCTGGGGCCGCGGGTGGCCGCGTCAGGCGCATAAGGCTGTGCTGGGAGCTGTTCCAGTGTGGCCGGCTGCGGGTGAGGGCCAGGGTGCGGGTGGGGGGCCGGGGACGGCCAGTCCGGCCGCGAAGAGCTGCGGGCGTCATGATCTGGCCCCGGCCCGGCCCTCCGCGACCCCTGCCCGGCCTTTGGTTACTGCACTCTGAGTCTGGAGTTTCCCCCTGGGTCCTTTCTTGGGGCCCCCCGGGGAGGGGCTGCCGTCCAGGGCCCGAGCTTGCGGGGCTCCCCGGGGTGGAGGGCCTGCAGGTCGAGCCTGGTGCGAGGGAGAGGGGCTCTCTTTGCGGGACAGGGACTGGCTCCGCGGCGACACACTGGCGTTGCGTGTGGCTGCAGAGAGGCCTGGGCTCCGGGGTACAGGGGTGGGTGCCGAGGAGGACATGGGGCCTGGTGGCTTGGCTCCGGCTCGAGCTCTCCCTGGACCCGGACCACGGCCGGGGGGCTGTTTAGGTCGGAGGTCAGCAGCAGTGGCCGGCCCTGGGGGCTTCTGCAGCTGGAGCCTACATGAGGAGCAGAAGGCAAGAGGAAAAAGGACAAGGAAACGAGAAAGGGAAGACGTTTTCAGAAGCTTCTTGGGCATGCAGGTATCCATAGAGCCCTATTTCCTGAGTTAGATAAGATTATAGCACAATGGGTAAACTCAGGCCTGGAGCTCTCTCTTCCAGAGCAGGAGCTGTGGGGCCCCTGCACTTCTAAGACCTGCTGCGGCCGTTCATTGATATCTGTTTCATGTTCATTTAGAACATGGATTTTATAAACTTCTTAATAATAAACTCATGAGACAATGTTTTCATGTTGTCGCTTGCCTCTTCCCTGCTCTCGGTTTTGCTTGGTCACATGACAACCTCTTGCCCTTTCCTGCTCCTGGCTTCCCGACCCTCCTATCCTGTCCCTTGGCCAATGTCATGGCTGAGGCCTGAGTCAAGTGAGTACAATTCTGGCTTATAAGGCATTTGTGGATCTCCCCCATCTTCAACAGCCCCTAATCTTGGGTCTAGGGAGGTCCCTGCTGGGGATGACCTTTTATAGTACCCACGTGCCCACCCTGGGGTGGGAAATGATTTCTCACCTGCTGGTGATGGCTGTGTCTGATGCAGAGGCTGTGCCATGGGGTCTGCCAGGGGGCTGCTGGGCTGTGGCGGGTGTGGGCATGCGGATGTTGATGGGGCGGGGAATCCGGCTCCTTGTGGCTGTTACTCGTCCTGCCTTCCGGGGTGCCGCAGGCTCGGAGGCTGGGGTGTCCTCCTCAGAGCCGGTCCCTGAGAGTGTCTCAGAGGCCCGACACTGGTCCTCACTGGAGGAGGAGGAGGCCCCCGAGGCCAGGCGCAGCAGCAGCCGGCCCTGCCTCTTCTCCATCACCAGCCGCGCCAGGTCTTGCTGTGGCCGCGTCCTCTTGCTCCACCGTTCTTTGGCCGACAGTGAGCCTGAGGGCTCCGAGCCCGTGTCCTCCTCGGACAGCAGGACAGGAATACGGCTTCTTGGGCGAGAGCCTGGTACGGCATGGCGGCTAGGGGAGATGGTGGCCAGTTTCTTGGGGACTGACTCCAACAGGGACACAGGAGTTGGCCTGTCAGAAACGACTGGGCCATTGGGCAGTAAGTCTGTGGCTACCTCTGAAGGGGTATCCCCAGGGGGGCCAGACAGGGCATAGCTCTCCGTCTCAGCCCCATCCAGCCCTGACAGGACAATGCCATTCTCCAGGGGTACTGGGGCCCCCTTGTCCGCAGCACCCCCATCCGAAGGCACCTCCAGGTCCAGCTCACCTCCCGTGCTAAGCTCCTCTGGCCGCAAGGCCTGCCCACCGGAAGACATGACATTGAGGTGGGTTTTCTCTGCGATGTGCACAAAGGTCCTCTCAACTTTGGTGAAGGGTGAGGAAGTGACTGCCACTCCCCCTGCCCCTGTGGTCACTGCCCCAGCCCCTAGGCCTGTCCCAGGCCCAGGGGGCTTAGGCTCAGACTTGAGGACAGAGGACAGGGTTCCTGGCTCGGACACATCCAGCTGGCTGCCTGTGGGCTGAGGCCGCTCATGCTGAGGCGTGAGGGCAGCCAGGGTGCCCAGGTCAGGGTCAGGGGCCAGTTCGGCAGTGACAGGCGACTTCTTCATGTCGCCTGGGGAGACGAGCACCAGAGTTTTGGAGCCTTCTTCAGGCTCCAGGTCCCCGTCAGCCACGGAGGCCCGGCCCCTGGACTCCTTCTGATCATCAGCCAGCAGCGTGGACGGGGCACCCTCTTGGCTCCGGTCAGTGCTCCTCTCACTCCCCTCACTGCTGGAGCCGCTGTGTGGGCCCAGCACCTCCCCCAGAGCCACTGCTGCCTCCTCCTCCTCCTCTTCTTCCTCCTCTTCCTCTTCTTCCTCCTCCTCCTCCTCCTCTTCCTCCTCCTCTTCTTCTTCTTCCTCCTCTTCCTCCTCCTCCTCCTCCTCTTCCTCCTCTCCCCCCTTCCCATTGGCCTGAGGCTGGACAGGAGCCAGCGGGGTCTGGGGGGTGGTGAGCAACATGTGGGAGAAGCCCACCCTCCGGACCCTGTTGAGCAGGCGTGCCCTCTCGCGGTAGTCAGAGAGGTCCCGCTTGAAGTCCTGGTAGGGCAGGCTCAGAGGCACAGCTCGTGGGAGACCATTCACCTCAAACGGGGGGGCCATGGAGAACACCTGTAAGGAGCACATACAGGGGCCCTCTGAGGTCACCACCCTCCTGGGCCCAAGAGGGCTCAGCTGCCCCACCCACCAGCCAAGCAGGAGACCCAGGTCACAAGTACGCACCAGTCTATTAGCTTCATGGACCTGCTTTCCTCACTGCTGTTCCCAGACCCTATCCCTGACACCTATTGTTGTTGTTAGCTAGGACTCGTAGTGACCCTGTGAACGACAGATCAGAACCATGTTCTGTCCTGTGTCATCCTCCTTGATTCTGACATACTCGAGCTCATTGCCGCAATCATTGTGTAGTCCATCTGGTGAAGGGTCTCTTTCACCGACCCTCAACCTTGACAAGCATGATGTCTCTTCCCAAGGAATGGCCCCAAGTACCAATAGAACCAGTTACTACCAAGCAACTTTGCATCAGGACAAGCCCGTGTGTTCACGGTAGAGCTGCACTCCAAAGACTTTTCACTGCCTGATTTTTTTTTTTTTTTGGAAGCTGATCTCCCTTCTTCCATGATGCTTCTGAGCTTTTCGGTTTGAACTGCCAGCCATTCGATTAGCAGTCAAAAGCCTTAACCATTTACCTCACCCAGAGGCGAGTGCTCAGTGTCCTCCAATGAGTGACTGTGCCTGTCCTCCGGGTGCCCTGAGCTCCAGGCAACTGGATCCTGGAAACTGTTCTCTCTCTCTGTTCCCCCTCCATTCCCCACACCTCTCCTCACTGTGTGCATCCCAAACCTCAGCAGCGGACCCCTAACAGAAAGTGAGAATCAGAGGGCATCACTGATGCCATTTACTTCTACCCGCCCTGTTACAGATGAGGAAACTGAGGCCAGGGAAGGGCAGAAAAATGTCTGGGTCACTTCCTAAGATGGCTGGGCTGGGACACCCTGGTCAGCTGCTTGTCACCTCCTCACAGGGTCACTCCAGGCCTCTAGGAGTTATATCTTACAAGGGTAAAGTCAGGGTCATCTCTCCCTGAGGGTGCAGGCTGGACCTGCTAGAATTCCAACCTCTTTGCCTTCTGCCCACTCCTGTCCTTGTTGACCAGAAATTGTCTAGCCCTACACTCCTCCAGGAGGCAGGTCATGGTCAGCCTAGGAAGGGAAGATCTTTTGTTTGGATCAAGTTTCCTTTTTGAAGCTTTCTGTAAAAGAGTGTTAGGTGTTGGCCAGACCTGACCTTGATTTTCTAGACCTCAGGGATATCACGGCCACAGCAGTCGCTGTGTCTTCCTCACCACCCAGGTCCATCCTCAGCTCTACCCTCCTCAATCCACAACCAGCCCCAGACACCACAGCGTACTGGTCCCCATCAGGGCAGAGGTGGGTGTCCTTTTTGCTGGGGTGATGGCTTCTCTCTGCTGGTGTCCTGCACTTTGTTAGCCTTTTGGAACACACGATGCCTTTGTCTTTCAGAACTAGCAGAGGACAGCCCACCCACACCAGAAGCTCCCAAGTCACCCTGGCGCCTCCTTCACCTTCCTCCCCACCTAGGCTCTTCCAGTCTTGCCAGATAACACCGTGAACATCTGTATCTGCAAACCCAGCCCCCTGAGAACAGCCTAGTCCTGCCTGGTGGTTATCAGTGGTTGCCATCAGCCTGTTCTCCCCAGTCATGCACTGCAGGCTCCCAAGTGGCCGTAGACTTAAAATCCAAGACTTGAAATCTGGCCCCATCACTTTCTGCTCCACGTTTTCAGTGGTCCCCACAGCCTTCAGTTGCCATCATTATGTGCCAGTGAGTTGGAACTGACTCACAGCTGACCCTCTAGTGGGTTTCCAGAAGCTGTAAATCACATAAGAGGGGAGTGCCCATCTGTCTCCCACAGAGCAGCTGGTGGATTTGAATCAACTGCCTTTGGGTTGACACCGTAACTCCTTACCGACCATGTCACCAGAGCTCTGTACGGCCTTCAGAGACAGTACTAAATCCTTGGCTTGGCTTGTAAGCCCTGTACCACCACCCCCTCAACAGACAGCTCATGATCTGATTCCTTCCTTCAGATTCAGCCTCACTTCTTGCAGTCCTAGATGTAAGCACCAGCAGACACTCTGACACCACCGGAAGTTTCCTGAACCCATCACACACACATCCAGTCTTTTCCCAGGTAACCTCCCCAACCTCGGGTCCCACTCATCTCTTCTACTCTCATACAAACCCCTACTTTTCTTCCAGGAGCCAGCTCAAACAGCGCCTCTCCTGCAACATTTGGTGACTGTCCACCTCTCTGTCCACTGACAAGTAAGCTTCCTCACTTGTCCCTTTTGTCATGTTTCTCTTCAGCCTTCCATCAGAGCGCCTTCCTGCTATCCATGTATGACTACCCAGTTCTTCATCCACTGAAGGTAAAGTTCCTTAAGGGCAGAAACCATGTTTATTTTTTCCTCCATTCATCCTGCAAATGTGGGTTATCTCAGCCACCAGAATGGGACTAGATTTAAGGCCAAGACAAATACAGTCTCTTTGTATTTGTGAACAGCATAGTGAACTATCAGGCAAAGGACACGGAGGTAATGCTCTGTAAGCATAAATGAGGTCAGATAAGTAATGGAAGGAGCCATCATGGCACAGAGGATAAGTATTTGGTTACTAACCAAAAGATCGGTAATTTGAACCACCAGCTGCTTTCTGGGAAGTTTGCTGTAAAGAATTGTTGTTGTTAGGTGCTGTCAAGTCAACTATGCCTCATGGTGACCCTATGACCCCTGCCCTATCCTGTGCCATCCTCACCGTCTCTGATGTACTCGAGCCCATTGTTATAGTGTCAACTCATCATGTTGAGGGTCTTTCTCTCCTTCTTTGCCCTTCCTTTTGAGATCCTATGAAGCAATTCTACTCTTGTCTTACAGAGTTGCTGAGTCAGAATTGACTTGATGGCAAGGGATTTGGTTTTATGAGCCATGGGCCTGGCTTATAGAAGCTCCTTCTCACCCACTTCCTACTCAACCTAGCTTGGAGATTGCTGCCCTCCCGCCCCAACCCCTGGCAGCCTCCATCACTGAAAAGCCTGGAGGCTGCACCTATGGGAAGCAGGGATGGTGGGAAATGGGAACTCTGCTATCTAAGGTCTCCATGCAAACAGTCAATCCAAAGGCAAGCATGAGGGCAGTGATTTCTAACCTCTCCAGCTGCGACAATCTCCCTAAGCAACATCAGCCTGCCACCACGACTTTATGGGGGGTGGGCAGAGACAGAGAGTGATGCAGCATGGGTAGCACCAGACCCAGCAGGACCCCAGCATATGCTGTCTGTGTCAGGCAAGCCAACTTCTTTAGGCCTTTGTCCTCTCCTCCATCCAGGCTAAAAAGTCCCACAACGGTTTTCTTCTTTTCCAACATCATTCATTCATTCATAAACACTGAGCATTGACCCTGTGCCAGGCCCTGTGCTAGGGCATGTTGCCACATCCAGTTACAAAGTTAAGGCTAGAGAAAGCAGCTGGGCAGAGTGGGAGAGGGTACTGTGGTTCCTGGGTTAGGGAGCATCAGGGTAGGTGCTGGCACAGAGGTTCAAAGGCAGCAGACACAGAACTTTGATCATGACTCTTTCTCCGCCAGCTCACAACATAGCCATCCAAGAGCAGACACATCCCACGCTCCTGAGAAGCCCTTTGACATACATCCTCCCCTTTCCCCCTCGCCCCCACCAGGTCACCCGATGTCACCTCTGCCTATTTGCCTCAATTCCATCTCTAATGTTGTTTTTCTAGGCCTCCCTGTTGAAACCACCCTTGCCCATCTGGGATCTCTCTGAGGTCCCAGGACCCTCCAGTCACAATGCCACACTGAGTGAGTGATCATAGCTGGACTCTTCTCTCCTTCCATCTCAAGGCCCTTGCCTTCTTGGATTATCAGTGAGGGAGTACAAAGAGAAGAACTGATATCCAGTTGTCAGTCATAATATCAGTTTGGAAAATGGGCCTAGAGAGAGGCATTAATGTGGGGCCATGTCAATCAAGGTGGTCCCAGACCCCAAAACTCTCCCCACCACCTCACTGTCCTCCCATACCTTCCCATGCAGGGAAACCTGAGTCTCTTTAGTCTCTGGCAGGAAGAATCATGAATTTCATAGTGAGGACAGCTTTGTTCTAGGAATCACTGCCAAGCACCCTTCTACCCAGTGCTCGATTCTCTGTTTCAAGGACTCTCCACTCCAAACACATCTGGCTCTGTGTTGGAAGATGATCGGAAGTCCTGCCTTTTTTTGCTTCTCCTGGGTGGCTCAGCACAATAAATTACTTATCCGTTTGCCCATCTGATCTTGCGATCACACATTTGGCACACCTTTGCGTGCTTGATCCTATAGGCTTAAGGACACCATAAGAGAGGGACAGTAGTGACCCTGCCCATCCCAGTTGTAGGGGAAGTCACTGTGCTGGTGTCAGACGTGGGAAGTTTGTGGCCTGGGGAAGCTCCAACTGTCTTGCCCCCTCCACGGTAATGACTCTATGATTCCCACCTGTGGTTCTCAAGTCTGGCTGGCACAGAATGCTCGGTATAACATTTTAAAATTCCCTGGTGTTGCAGCTGCCGAGTAAGTGGTAGGTGTGGTACAGGTTGGATCACGGAGGGGCTGGGGTAGAAGGCAGTCTGTTCAAGCTCAGATCATCAGAGAGAAGGCAGACACCCACTCTCCCAGTCCCCACTGAGCCCATCAGCTCTAGCGTCCTGCACAAGTGTATGTGTGTTCTGAAAATAAGCAAAGTGGAAGGAGGCACAGGTGTCCCACTGATCCTCGTCTGCCACCAATAAAACCAGCTTCCCTCAGTCTAAGAGGCTGGGACAGAGCTTTCTGTGACACAGTGACCACAAAGGGCCTGTGGAACCACTGCTCCTTCCTGATCACTCATCAACCCAGACACTGGATGCTGCTCACTGCCCACAGTCCTGAGGTCAAAGGAAAAAGACCAGCCTGAAAAGAGGACACGTGGACAGTGTTGCCATGTCAGCTCCTTGTCCACCTTTCCCAGTGTCTTCATCTGCATATCTGGATCTCCCCCTTCC